GCCCGGCTATTTTTTGGTTGCAGCCATTATTGTTGTTTGGTGGGCCCGGGCTGGATTTGAACCCGCCACCTTAGGTGTATGTGGCTGGTGCCTTGGCCGCTTGAGCCACAGGCACCGAGCCAGTAACTCAAATTGTTGAGGGTAATGTTATGTAGGACTTTAAAAATGATTACTTTGGCAGGCTTAAACAAATGCTCTGCAAAGGAGTTTAGTTAGGAGTCTAATGCTGTCAGCCAGCGAAGAGATACTATAAGGGTAGTGTGAATTATAATTTGGCAAACAGATAATAACTGAACAGATTTGAGAGTTATTTGGGATATAGAATCAGAGATTTGTGTATGGTTAAGATGTGGGCCTTACATCTGTAGTGTAGTTTTCTGGTCCTTTAAAAATACTTTTTTGTAAAACTCTTATTTCGTAGCTCTAGCCTTCAGTCATATATCAACTTGGCTTAGCTTCCTCCTTGTGGCCCAGTTGTACAGGTTATTAAATATGAAATGCCCAATTTCCTTATATACCAAGTTTGAAATAGTTGATACTTCTAACATTTCATTTTGATACTTCTATTTTTATTGTGAAGGTACATGCTCGTTTTTTCAGATGTACATTTTGGCTTATGACTATCTTTTCAAATTTTTTTGAGAGCAATTTTATGAAACCGTGGATAAGTCAAATATTCATGTCTTTTTCAAATATGAGCTCCATCATGGAAACCAGCTCAAAGTATCAACAAAGTGTTTAGGAAGGGTATGGTTATTAAATACACAGTACGTGGATAGTTTAAGAAGTTCTGTTTTGACAATTTTAATCTTTAAAATGAGCCATATGGGCAGAGACGAAGGTGGATGTTGAACAGGAAGCTGTTGTGGAAGCAAATCCATCTCAACCTACCCATGAATCAGCAGCAGGGTTTGTTGTTACTGTTCCAACAGTACTAGACCATTGGAGACAAACCATCAAGGTAAAGAAGCTGGATAGATAGGTTCCACCTGGATTGAATGAGTGTCAGAAGTGAAATAGTCTTGAAGCTTGCTGGGTTTTGCTGTCACTACGTAAAGGCAAACTGTTTATACACTCTGTTATGTGTGACAAAAAATGGATTCTTTCTGGTTATCACAAGCATTCACTACAGTGGTTGGATAAAGATAAAGTGCTGAAACACAGTCCAAAAGCGAATATTCATTAAACAAAACTAATGGTGTCTGCGTGGTGGTCCAGCACTGGTATTCACTACACCTTCATGAAACCTGGTCAGTCAGTTACAGTGGATGTCTACTGCAACCAATT